TCCTGCAAACCCCCCCTTTTTTTTTTGAAACTAAAAAAAGGCCCCCCCCCCCCCATCAGCATGATGGGGGGGAGGAGGGGGACTTTGTTTTAGATTCAAGGAAGTAGTTTTTTTAAAGAATCCAGAACAGTAACTGCAATACACCCTCAATAACCAGCTCTTAAATAATTAGTTTGAAAGTTAACTTGAACTTAATTATTTCAAACTAATTATTGGCTCTTATAGATGAGGATGATGTACCTGTGATAAGGCCTGAGGAGAGGTACATGGTACCAAAAAGCCTGTGTATGTTCCCCCCACTATACAGTTTGTTCAATAAAGATATCACTCACCGAAATCCTTGCCTCTCACAGATAAGACATTTGTTCAAATAAAAGAAGAAACTTTAACCCTTGTTATATCATTCCTATATACGGTCTCTCTTTTTGCATGTTAACATAGGTGACCTTTACAAGAGACAGCCTCATCAGTAAGACTACTAACAGATTGTACTGTTTCCTTCACCAACTTGCTGATAATTTTCAACAACAATCAATATTTCTAAATGTAACAAACATATACCTGCCGTATCTGACTACAAAATTAGCCATCACTAAAAGAATACTCTAATACATAAAATCATGCTTTAGGTTATTCTGCTAAGTTACCTACAGTAGATTAAGGTATTGCATGTTGTGGATCTGTCAGCATCAACTACGTAGTTTTGCTAATATGTTAAAAACAGATTTTTATAGGATGATTTGGGTAAGAATGATGCTGCTGCCTCAGGCAGGGAGTTGGAATAGATGACCTCTAGAACAGCGTTTCCCAACCTTTTTCAGCCCACGGCACACTTACATAAAAAAAATTGCAGCACACCAGACTTCGGGGGGGGGGGGCAGGGGTGTGGCACAGCTCTTGAATCACTGGCTGAAGCCATGCCCCACCGCCTGCTGCTGGACTACTGGACTGACAGTCCATAATAAAAATGTCATAATATATGATTATTTTCCAACTTGCAGGATAAAAGTTGTAATTCCCACCCTCCCCTGCTATGTTAAAGGGCATAAAGTATGCTTTGGACAATTAATTCATAGCTTTCACTTGAATATTAATCTGGTCTGGAGGTGTACATTCTGTAATTACAGATCTCTGGGGGGTGGGGAAAAGAGAAAATCTTACCACAATCATAAATAACTTAATTTATTAAATGCAAGAAGTAACATTAATGCAACATAAAGGAGGAGAAATTAAGAATTCAGAAATTAGTACATACAAATATTTCAACCTTAATACTGTGAGTACTAGTAAAGGAAACCTCAGGTTCAAGAGGATTTTCTTGGGTTTTTTCTTAAATTTAGGTTGGCATTATATTCCACAAAATAGAATAGTCCAAAGCAACGTAAGTCTTTCCAGCAAGTTCATGGAATCTGGTTACTATTGAATATGCAGCAATTCCTTTTAAGGGGAGCTTGCTTTAAACACCTACCAAAATAGGAGCTCACCGTTAAGAACCCTGCTGAACAGAATAATAGAGCTTGACAGAGAAAGAGAAGTAGAAACAAAGAAAGAAAATTCTAAGGAAAACAGCAGCAGCAAAAGATGACACTTACCGCTTCAAATTTCTCTCTGTTTTTCCGAAGATAATCTATGCAGGCCATCCTAACATCAATATGTCGAGACTGAGAGTGCAATACCTACCAGGGGAAGGGTGGTGTGGTGGGAAAAAAGAAAAAGAAGATTTTAGGACTCCAGAGGTAAAGTTACAAATGGATGCCAACTATCTGGTAAAAATAAGCTTGGAAAATTCAGTAACTTAAATAGGGAAACAGATCTATTTAAATGTCAGAACAGAAAACTACCGTAAATTAAAAACCCAGTTACTTCTTACTCAGGATTAAGCTACTGTGGAAGTCAAAAAAACAAACACATACACAGAAATACTTAATATGAAAACAACTTAGTGACAGAAAAAAACAACAACAGAAGGTAGCTTTCTACCTTAAGATTTGTGTGCTTATTCAAGGAGCACTTGCCTTTTGTAAATTCGTATTAATTACAGAAACTGTGTGACTGGAAAGAGAAGTTAAAATCAATGGTTAAATCAAATCTTCCCAGGCCCACTTATGCTTTTTTTTTCTCCAGTCTGAGAGATACAGTTGTGTGACCCAACCACAGGGCTGAAGTCAGGAATACTCATGTCTCCGTTCTATCTTCTTGATGTTGCGAGCAAGATCTCTTCCGGGCTACATTTTTTAAGCCCACAGGTCCTGAGAGCATGTTACAAACTTAGCTGCAACTCAGCATATTACAAACTTAGCTTGCACTCCCAGCCTTGTAAACTAGCCCGACTATAGAGCATTTTCTAAAACTTTGGTCAGAGGCATCTGTGTGAATGGTAATGAAACCACACGAAAACCTGCACGTGACCTTAGATTAACTTTGGGTGTATCTTCATTACAAACACATAAGAACTGCAGGCTTAATCAAAACAGAATATCAAATGAAAAACAAAGAAGAATAATAAAAAAAAAATTAGTTGCCAGAAAAGCAAATACCTCCAGACACTATACAGAGACACAGACAGGCACATGGAGACGCACACAACCACAGCCACATAGAGACCAGAGACACAAACAGACACAGACAGAAACAGCTCAAACGGAAACGGTGATAAACCCAACTCCTTCTCTTTACCCAAAGACTCTCAAGCATCAGAATAACTGCAAGCAACAACTTAAGTATTTTAAAAGTTTGCTGGCAAAAAAAAAAGAAAAGAAGAGTGGGATCCCTCCCTGTGCGGTGGGGGATCACACCAAGCCTTCCCAGGTCAGCCCCAGAGCTCCCACTGCTGTTTACTTGCCTCTAAGACAAGATGACACTGTCACTTTCTTTTTGATTCAAATGTTTTAATTGGGCCGGGAGGGGCCCAGAAGGAAACCTGGGACTTGCCCAGTGCAGCAGTCGCTTCCTGGCCTCCTGCAGCCCAGTCCCCGGGGCCAACTCCGGGCCTGAAGGGCTGCTCCCCCCTCCGGCAGGCTCCTTCCCGCGCCCGGCGTTTCGGGATCCGTCACGGCGCCCCCCGCCCCCTCCTCCCGCACATGGGACCGAGCCACCTCC